TTGGTATACAAAAAAATAAATGAGGTATTAAAAAAAATAAAATTATTCCAAATATCGCCTGAAGCGATAAGAAAAGGACTCATTCAGGTAATAAGAAAACGGCTCGCCCAGGCGAGTTGCCTTCGGCGGACGTTTTAGAGCGACCGGTAATAGGAAATCGATTCGATGGCAATATTACCGGCAATAAATTTGTTTCCGAGGGCGACACGTTTTCTTATTGCCGGCAACACAAATTGTTTGGTGGGTTCGTACATGAAAAAGCCTTAATAAACAAATCTTTAATACAAATGTATTTGTCGTTTTAATATTTATTAGCTTTACGATTGTGAAATCATTTGGATAAGGAGACATCATTTTAGATATGTTTTAATTGGATCTTCACGGTCAACCTAAAATTTTTGAGTAAAAGTAGCAAGCTAGCTGGCGGAAAATGAGTAAATAAAAAAGTACATACTCGATACTATTTGGTTGGTATCCGCTTCGTATCGATGCCTTTTCAGAAAAATACTTCGGGCCCTGTCACACGGTCAGTAATTATCACGATATTTGGATCGCGATCCATATTGATGGATATTTATCGCGTCAGTATTTGCATAATTTGGGTGCTGAACGCTTATTATGATGCAAGAAAATATTTTTATTTTGTATGAATAATTTGCAGATAATGCTTTCCACAATTATTTTAAAATTTCCCATGTTAATTAAAATTTTTTCAATTTGTTTGAAAGATTTTAAGCAACGAGAACGAAGGCAGAGCAACATATTCGATGTTCGCATATGAGAGTACAAGATGTACTGACGAAATGTATGGATCGCGTTTTGAAAGTGCTACACGCTCAATATTTATTGACAATATTGCGATCCGCGATCCAGATTTCAAAAATTTTATACTATGTCTCCTTTGTGAGATTTAATGAAGATTTGGCCCTCTGACGAGATTTGACGTTAAATCTTTTGACATTTTCCATATAAAATTAAATCTCGAAAGGCAGTAGATTTAAGTTAAATCTTCGTCAAATCTTCAATAATATTGATCAATAAGTACAATTTGTTGGATGCGGCAACCACAAATTCACATGCCATAAGTCAAATGACATTTGTGTTTTCAATATACAGTTGAGGACATTGAAATCTAGCCAGTCATAAAAACATGAATTTTCGAATTTTTAGGGATTTTTATATTTTTGTTAGTTTCGGAGGAAAATTAGTAATACATATTTACATAACTTTGGTTGTAATAAATTAGTAAAAAAAATATTATTTTAAAAACTATAAATTTAGAAGGAATGTTTTATAGTGATATCATTCAGAGTCTTCTCCGCTTTCTATAAGTCATTTACGCGCTGCGGCAAAAAATTTATAAATTTCGGTAATGGTTCTGCTTCGATAACATTGCACCGAACATCCTCTAGAGCTCAGTTCGTATTCATGATATGCCAAAGGCCCACGATTGGATTTTCGGTTCCCTCCTATGAATAAGAGAGTTCTACAAAAATTTTTTATTTCCGCAAATGTTTTTTTACCGTTTTGATAATTTTTCTTAAATTCGGGAAAATGATTCGGAATATGGTACCATTCTTTACACTTTTCAAACTATATATTATACATACATATTTACCACGAATAAGAAGCCAATAATATTCAGAATTCATATAATGAAATTCCGCTGGGTACCTTCCTTTTATCTGTCTGTATATCAATGTCTCCAACTGTATTTATAAAATCATACATAAGCAAACGTCAAATATTTAAAAATGTCAACGTCAAAACATATCTCGTTGTGGTAATGGAGACAGTTGTGATTTAGCAACTGGATTTATTAAATCTTAATGGATAAATCTCTCAATGGAGACATAGTATTAGAAATTTTGCGATATGGATCACAATCCATCAATACTGCATGCTACACCGACAATAAATATCGCGATACTTGGATCACGTCAATAACCGTGTGACAGTGCTCTTCCAAGTAAAAGTATCGATACTGTGGCTAATACAGCGGCAACGCGAAGCGAACAACGAGAAATAGGCAGAATGTTCGAGGAATGAAGTAGAATGTTCCACAATGAGAAAACGTCAAGTGGATGAACACAGCGAACAGCGAGAGAAAGAGAATGAGCGATGAACTTCAGAACGTTCTAGAGTTGCCTTAAGTGTGAGAACAGGTATATAAGGGCGCTGCCACAGCGAAGTTAGTTAGTTACAACTCAGCAAGCTACAAGTGAAGCGAGTTGCGAATAAGCAAGCTGTAAGTTTAATTGTGTTAACAAGTTTTGTAAAGCGTTGTAATTGCTTTAACGAGTATTTTAAAGTGTTTTTACGGTATTACCGAGTATAGCAAATTGTTTGTTGTACAATAAAGGGATACGAACCGAAAGATTTGGGAAATCCGGACGAGATTTCAAGGATAAGCCCTGTATGCAGCTCTCAAGAAAACGGTCAGGAAAAAATTGCCATTATTTCGTGTGTGTGTCCAAGGAATTTTGATACTTCACAGCCTGTTGCCTCGCTTGTTGTACGCTTTCTACTACGGTTTTCAAAGTTTTTTGTGAAAAAAGAGCACAAGGCAACCCAGGTTTGCAACAGAAATATATTGTTACGATTATCCTCGAAACCTTGATAGCCCGAACACAATGAAAACGACGAGCTACAAACCACAGCTG